CCTACAATTAATAACTTTATTTTGGATTTGCTATCGTATTCAATGACAAAGAAAGAAAAAGAAAGGGGGAAAGGGAAGGAAAGAAAGGAAGGAAGGAAGAAGAGAAGGGGAGAGGAAAAATAGAGAAAAACAGAAATGAGATGGAGGGGGAGAGAAGAGACTCTATTCTCACAGAAAACACTGAGCCATGAAACCTTGGTAGGCATGTCTAGGGGGGAGGTCATGTAACTGGGTGGGAGTGATGTTGAGTTGGCCACACCCACCCAGTTTTTGTGGCTCCCGGTGTTACTTAGTAATAACAAAAATAATTTTAGGGTTGGGGGACACCACAACTTGAGGAACTGTATTAAAGGGTCACGGCATTAGGAAGGTTGAGAACCACTAAGATATATAAATAACTTAATTTTTTTCAGTATGGGAATTGTAATATTTTGCTATTAGGAGGAAAAAAACTTACGTATGCAATCAATTCTCTGGCTATGGTGTGTCCATTAGGAGTAAACAGCACAAAGGTGATAATCAGATGTATAACAATATGTTTAGTTGCAGAATGATATACACTGGTTTTGCTGCTGAATAAAGTTTGTAGGTCTGCAACAGAAATGGTTGGCATCCTTGAGAGGCTTGTCAGATGGTCACATACAGATCTAACTTCTACCTGTTGACAATAATTGGAAGAAATAAAGTCATATTCATTTCATGAAATTTGCAGAACAGTACAGACTAGATTCCTAGTAATGGAGTGGAGAAGGAAAGGAGAGCATGGGCCATGCTCTCCTTCCAAGAGGAAAGACAGAAAAGATTTTTTTTTTTAATTCTCTCTTTAGCCGTGAAAAACTAAAGCACTGCAGGCCGTGATCCAGAATTTGACCTTTGGGGGTTGGGGGTGGGTGGTAATAAAAGGAAGTGGCAAAATTCACAGAGTAGAATGAAGGTAGATTGTTATATTGTGGGAAAAAGAACAGAAGGTTCTTTTGAGGGCTCACCACAATACCATAACTACAAATCAATTAAACTCCATGGAATCTGACCTCTTCTGATAAAAAAAATTCTGATAGGAATTCAAGCGTTTGGCTTCCCCTTAGTATTGTGGTCAAAAAGTTTCCCTCCCCACCTTTTTACCTCTTCAAGCAGCAAGAACAAACAGTTTCAAGAGCCAAAATAGAAACAACATTTGATGGTCTCTGCATTAAAGGAAATTATTGGCCAGATATAACTTAAAATATTTACTACATAAAAGCCATGACTGGGACAGAAAAGAAATAAAAAGCAATATGTAAATCTCTTGCTTGCCAGCCTTAACCATTATTTTAAGCAAGTTATTTNTTGCCATTTTTAACATGTCCTTGGGTGTAATTTCACATATTTTTCGTTACTCTGAGAATCAGCTTGGAATAAATAAATAAATTTAGGTTCTTTAAAATTAAAACATTTTCAGGCTGAATTTTTTTTATCCTGCTATTAAAAACTGGACTTCTTTGAACTGGACTTGTTTTTTACCTTTAATTATTTGATATTGTAACACGGTTTGTTTTAGATTTACCCTTTTTAAAATTACAATGGAGCCATGTTGGATTGTTAGCATGCCTGGTTAATATTAAAAATCTAGGGGTAGAATGGAAGGGGGTTTTTTTGAGGGGAAAAACTCTTTAAAAAGTGTTAATAATTTAAATGCTACAGCCACATTTTAATAAGCGCTTAAATAATTTTCTTATTTTTTTTTCTGTCTTACAAAAGGTTCGACATCGATGGTGTGAGATGATTATTAAACACAAGTATGTGGCAGGATATGCTGATGTTGAGAAATTTCTCAAGGAGGACCAGGTCAGTGTTCCTTAGGTACTCTTATTGTATTGCCAAACGCTACATAAATTGCACAATACATATATGTTGGAAACGATCCTTCAAAGATGGAACCAATATAAATCCTGCTTTTTGGTTCAAATTTATGCTAAAATTTGACTAAGGGTTCTTTACTGTGGCCTTGGCATTGCTTATTAGGAGCGTCATTGAGATCGGATCTCTGGCTCTGGAGATGTCCAATCTCAGAGTGGAAATTCAGCTTCTGAAATCTCCTTTTTGCCCCTGTTGAATTTTATTCAGCTTTCATTCTGTTGCTGATACTCATTGGCAGAGGGAATATTAATTTATACAGGAAAATACAAATTAAACCAAAGTGTGGCCTCAGCACTTCTGATATTGCATAGTGCACAGCAAGGGTCCCCAACCCCTGATCCGTGGACTGACAGAAACCAGGCTGTGCAAACAAGCAAAGCCCCATCCAGAGGATGCGGGCAGTACGTGAAACTAAGCCCCCTTCAGTCTGTGGGAAAAAACTCCACAGAACCGGTCCCTGGTGCCCAAACGGTTGGGGGCCACTGACTTACAGAATTGTCAGAGGCATTCAGCACTTATTATAAGCTGCTATACAGTATCTTTGAGTACTCATCACATGTATTAAGGTGCAAAATAAACATTTATGCATTTTTTTAAGTGTGTGTCAAAGTTATTGTTTTTTCTCCAGCTTTTTTGCTGAAAAAAGTCTATCCATTGCTGTTTTTTTCAATGAATCTTCTGGGGGAGGGGCATGAAAGTATGCAAACTCTGGAATGGTACCATTTGAAATCAAACTAGTGTCTTTTTGTTCCTGTCTTGAAAGATTATTTGGTTGCTGAAAAGTCTGAACCAAATGCCACTATGACCAGTTAATATTTTAAGATAATAGAATTTCAGTGTAGATTAAACTTGGATCTTTGAACTATGGAAAATGATGGTGAAATAATCAAATCAGATTTGGAATTTTTAGTGATGGATTTCACATTTCATTTTGAAACTGACAGATTCTTAGAAGCCCAGCATAGAGGTGATAATGTCCATTCAATTTAAATCATGTATGTTAGTTTATTTCTACTTTAATGCAGAATTCTCCTCCATGAGAGAAGTTTGCATGGTTTGGTAATAAATACTTGTCAGAAATGAGAGAAATTTTAGATTGACCCATTTTTCTTTCTTCTTCTTTCTTCCTATTTGTAAGAAATATCAACATAATAAAAAGAGCAAAATAATAGATTTTGCTAATATATATCTTCAGTTTCAGAAACCATGTGTACCTGATGTGAGGTGAAGCTGCATGTCTATGGTGCTGAAAATAATATAAGCAAAGGTCTTCTCCTTATTGTGCAAAGGGAAGCATATTATTTCAAGCACAAAGACAACAAAAATATTTTTCAAAAATGGTATTGGTTGTCTAAGTGTACAAAGTCGTCATGCAATCCCAGGTTTTTAAAAGTCTTATCGCTATGGAAGACGAAAGGCAAATTACACTGGAAAGAATATTTCCCACCTAAGCTATCTCTCCTGAGAAAGTTTTCTCCCTGATAACCATCCCCTCTCATTTGGAGAAGATTCTCAAGAGTTATGAGATATTAGAATTCAAATTGGTAGAAAGTATTTTCATATTCTGGTTTCATGTGTAGTTCTGAAGGTTATAATTAGTAGACTTTTATCCATTAATGTTTGTCATAATTGTTAAGTGCTGTGATGGTGAGTTTTGTAACTATTCATTGTTTTTTGTCCCCAAAATTGTTTTAGTCAACCTTTTGATACTTTACTCTTTCTTTTCTCCAATTCCTCATTTTCTTAGGATCCAGTTCAAAATAATGTAGAACTGGTGATTCTTGTGTAGTTTTTAAAATCAGTTAATGGGGAGGGAGGAAAAAAGTGAGTGTATATACCAAAGGTGCTGTTCAGTAGGTTCTGACCAGTTCTGGAGAAATGGTAGTGGAAATTTTGAGTAGTTTGGAGAACCGATAAATACCACCTCTGACTGGCCC